AAGGATTCACAGCTGCTGAAGGCTGTGTGTGGAAGGAGGTGTTCATCTCCGATGTTCAACTGCTCTGTGAGAAGGCTGAAAATTTTTATAAAACCTGACTAAAAATATTAAGATGTGTAAAATGATACATAATTCTGTATCTGAAATGCATGCCAAAAATGAAACATAGCAGCCCACATAACTACATCATAATTTAGGAGAGAAGGTAAAGATCTTCAAAAGGCAGAAAGGATTTTGAACATCTTTGTGTGTGTACCTGAGAGTATCTGTACCTGAGGGTATGTGTGAAAAATCTGAATTTCTAAGAGCTAAAAGTCCACCTGATGAGGTCTTTTTAGATGTCTCAAAATTAAACACATTAGACTGCCATTAAAGTAATCATGAAATACATACATCCCTATAGCCCCGTCTTGGGCAAACTCTGATGATTTCTTTTTAATGATTCCTATACTAAGTGATGCAACCACTACTTGCCAGGTATTGCCATGAGGCAATTTTTCTGTTGACATAATCAGGATTTATTTGAACTCCTGTCTCCAAAGATATGATTAATGGATGTACACATGGAGTCTTCAAAGAGATTGTTTTGAAAATAGAGGCAGGTGATGATTGGTCAAGTATTTTAAAAATCCAGATGAGTAATTTTGTTTAATGAAGGTGAAGGTGAGAAGGGCTTGGGCCTGTATTTTCACATGTCCTACACCCTGCACTGAGTGGTTTTCTTTTTTTATCCCTAAAATCTATGTGTTTTGGGATGAATTAAACAATAAATGGATTCCATTTTTTCCCCTGTGTTTGAATTCAGTAGGGTCATACACAGGATAAAATTAGGGTGCTGATACCTGTTTATCTTCATAATGCCTTTAAAAGCACATGTAAAAGGTAAAACTAACTCCTCTCTATATACTGACAGCACATTTGGGTTAATATATTCACATCTCAACTTGTAGCCAGATCTGCTGTTTTAAATGATTAAATGTTAGATTTGGTATTTACACTCGGACTGTGCAAAAGTCAAAGGGAACAATTTGTCAGCTCATTCATATTTTGCTTCTGAAGCCAGTTAACTAATCAGTCTAACAGAGAAAGAAGTAAGATAAATGGAAGCCATTCTCTTATGTAGAAAAGTGTACATGAAGATAAATTTTTCACATTTTGCTTCATTTCATCTGCAGTTATCACTGTTGTAATTGCTTCTGAGCACTCAAGGTGCTCTTCAAGTTGCTTCTATGATCTGGATTGTTCAAGCTATTTTGGAAGGCTACTGGCTTGCAGCACTGAAATTCTCTGCATTCTTTTTTTTCTGTATTCCCATTTAGAAAAAAAACCTCTATGTTTTTATATACAGGGTATTTGCCAAATAAACAATAAAGGATCAAGAACTGTGTAAGACACCAGTTTCTGCTAGAAACAAGCTTGCTTATAGGAAATCCTGAGCAAATGAAATCTTGCTGCAATTGCTAGTAGTCCCACTAGTTTATACTAAAGCTATGTAATAATCTAGGCTCGAATAACTTGCAGTAAGTTCTTCTCCTGCCATGGCTTCTACTGATTGAAGGAGTAATGGGGTCATCACCCTTTGCCTCATCGAAAACCTGCAAGATGTCTATCATAATTTTCAGTTCATGATAGTAAGTAGGTATTTCTTGTTGCAACTCATGACCTAAATTATGATATGAAAAACCCTAAAAAGTGTAATTATTTTGAAAAGGGAACAGAGAAGTCTGTTTGAAATGCAATCTCGATGATGTTTTCATTGCTGCATCATTGCAGCATTGCCCAGGTGGGCAGGAACGCCAGTGGCACCTGGCCTGGATCAAAAAATAATGTGACCAGAAGGACCAGAACAGTGATTGTCCCTCTGTGTGGGGCACTGCTGAGGCCCCCCAAGGGCTGTGTCCAGTTTTGGGCCCCTCACAACAAATTGAGTGGTGTGAGTCCAGAGACAGGGAGTGAGCCCAGAGAAGGGAAGGGGCTGGAGCAGCAGGAGCAGCTGAGGGAGCTGGGGGGGCTCAGCCTGGAGAAAAGGAGGCTCAGGGGGGACCTTCTGGCTCTGCAACCCCCTGACAGGAGGGGGGAGCCGGGGGGGGTCGGGCTCTGCTCCCAGGGAACAAGGGACAGGAGGAGAGGGAACGGCCTCCAGCTGTGCCAGGGGAGGGTCAGGTGGGACGTCAGGAGGAATTTCTCCCTGGAAAGGGTGGTCAGGCACTGGCAGGGGCTGCCCAGGGAGGTTTGGAGTCCCCATCCCTGGAGGTGTCCCAGGAAGGCCTGGCCGTGGCACTGAGTGCTCTGGGTTGGGGGTCAAGGGGGGGATCAGACACAAGGTTGACTCCATGGGCTGGCAAGTTTTTTCCAACCTTAATGATTCTGTGGTTCTGTGATCATATTGTGTTTTTTTATTGAGAACTCTTTAAAGCCTAAAGGAAAATGCCAGGATTTCTAAAAGAGTCTTTCCCTCTGTTAACACAGACTCATTTTCTGACTAAATTAATTATAGTGGCATAGTTAGCCACATGTGTAGCAATCTCATTAGGGTTTGAATCTGATTCTGTGCAGTGTGATTTTACGATGGCTAAGGATCTGAACAGATAAGTAGACCCAAGGTAGCTGTATTAAAATTGCTGTAAAAGGTACACTAGTTTTCTCAGCCAGATTTCTGCAGTGGTAGACTGAGAGATTCTTAAATAGGCACGTTCCTTTTGGCACCCTGTGCACTTCAAAAAGAACTTCATTGTAAAACTCCCCCAGCTTTGTGCCAAAGGAATACAGGGGTGGGACTGGATTTCTTTCTTTTATGGTTTGTCAGAAATTTCTTGTAGTTTTACGCCATTACATATTCAACCACTCCAGCTGCTGTTGGAAATGTGTAGCTAAACAATAAGCTCAGAAAGGTAAATGCATGATGTTCTTAAAATACTGATGCAAACTGGGCTTAGCTCAGAATTTCCAAACCCACATCACTTTTGAGTTTTAAGGCTCTGCAGGCCTTTTTAAAAATCCTTGCATGTTTAAATCAATATGTTCTGCTGGCAGTAGATTTCATGTTATTAGCCAAAAATATGTGGGTCATCACATACTTTTATAACCACAGAGTGAATTTAATTAATCATTTATTATAAAAATAAGATCTTTTTTTTTTCCTAAATAGAAAATTTAATTCAATTACCTGGAGTTTCATTCCTTCTTTCATACTATAACTTTGAGTAACTTTAAAGCTTGAATTTTTTCCCCCTGAGAAATCCAGCTTGGATTCTGCCATCTTGTTCTTTCTACTGCTGTAATTACAATATTCAATCAAGTTAGAAAAGTATTCTCCTGGAAAATTTGACAAGATAAGGAAAGAAGTTTTCATATAAAATATTCTGTGATTTAAAGTTTTTGCTCCTGGACATTCCCATGCTCCACTGCATCGGTGTATCTCCACTGATGTCTAATAGAAGGTCAGAACTGACTAAATATTCCCGGATTCCCTTTTTTTCCCCCCCCAGTTTTTCAATATTTTGCTCTACATTTTTTGCTTGTTCATATTAAAGGGAAAAAAAGTCAGCTTTTTTCCTCCACGCTGATTTTGTGGTAGTGTTGCGCTTTTCCCTTGCTTTGACGGCAAACAGAAATCAATGCTTCTCTAACATTAATTCTGAAATTAATACCCACTTCTGCTGGAGATTTTTAAAAGACTAAAAATAATGCATATACATTAGCAATCAGAAGAATCTTTATAACTGATTGGACCCTATGAATGATATCAAACTGATCTTCTCTCTTTTGGATATTAAATATTCACAGAAAGTATATGGTGTGCTTTCAAAAGCAGTTTGCTTTTTGGCCTGACAAAACACATCCCAGTGTCCCTAATACACTTGGATTCATCTTCCATCAGGATGTAGCTATTACCAGACCCCAAATTTCAACAACTGATCTAATGAGTTGTCATTTATTGCCAAGTTAAAACAAAATAGTGTGTGAATGAAAAGAAACTGGGCTAACTTTTTGGTTGCTCTGTCCTTGCAGAGCACTACTACATTAAATACGGTTTCTATGTATCACTTCTAGGAAAATGGAGAAAAGAAAGAAATTTAAATAGGGGAATTTGCTCTTCTTGGAGTTGAGAAAAGCAGGCAAATATGATCTGCTTTTCATTTCCCAAGAAATATGGTCCTTTTCAAATAAGTCACATTTCTCTTTTGTGTCCTTTAGCCTACCCCAAGTGGCTTGCAGTATTTATCAACTTTAATCAACGTGACTGACAGGAAACCTGATAATAGAGAATAGCTGTCTCCACTGGTGGGGCAAAATCTTTTCAAATGTCAGTAGTGAATACACTGTATTTACATTTCTTTGGGATTCTCACTTTTAAAAGATTTTCATCTTTTACACTAGGGGGATGAAAGTAAAGGTTATTTAACTATACATCAGAAATTGTATCTGATGACAGTATGACAAAATATTCCTGCTTTCAGAAGGGCAGGATGCTGCCTCTCATCTCTGGTGCTGTTCCAGTGGCGTAGCAAGCTCAGAGCTGCTATTTGTCCTCTAATATTGGAAGCTGTTCATCATCCAATTAATGAGAGTCCTGGAGCTTTCTTTTCAAAATCCACTTTGGGTTTGGCCAGTATATTAATTCTGTACAGAGATTTATACTGTGTTAAATAGAAACAATTAAAATTAGTAATCAATTACTTCTGGACTGTCCTGAGACATGTTGCTCTGGTCAAACACAGGCCAAAGGCAGAGTATGGCCAAATCCTCTGAGAAGGGCTGAGTCCTCTGGTTGTGCTGGGTCAGAGGGTCTCGGTAAGATGTGCTCAAGAGCAAAAACATGTTACAGCCAAGCTAATCCCTTTGGTTTCAGTTTGTGAGGCCCAAAAGTTTGGAGAAATTTGGCTTAGTGTTGTCTTTAGTGATCAGTGAATTTTTTGGGGCTCTGGCCAGCAGTTCCTCTCCTTCATCTGTTCTGAGTGTGGGGCTGCTAAAGCTGGGACCTGTGTTAATGGCAGCAGTTACGGTCCCTTCTGCACATCTCCTTTTTCTGAGCATTGCCCTGGGACAGAGCCTCTGGGTGCACCTGATTTTATATTGGACACCACACAGCACAACTGCTCAGACTGGGAAAGCTGAACTCTGGATCACAAGAGCTTCTCTTTTCATCCTGTAAAGATTTGAGGAGAGCACCCAGGGAGCTTTCAAAATAATCACAGGATCACAGAATAGTTCAGGCTGGAAGGGATCACAGTGGCTCATCTGGTCCCACCTCCCTGCTCCAGCAGGGCCATCCCAGAGCACAGGGCACAGGATTGTGTCCAGAGGGCTCTGGAATATCCCCAGGGAGGAGACTCCACCCCCGCCCTGGGCAGCCTGTTCAGGGCTGGGTCACTGCCCAGCAAAGAAGTTCTTCCTCCTGTCCAGGGGGAACTTCCTGGGCATCAGTTCCTGCCCGTTCCTCCTGGGCCATTGCTGGGCCCCCCGAGCAGAGCCTGCTCCAGCCTCTGCCCCCTCACAGATAGTTATATAAGACTATATAGGATACTAGGTATATAAGAAAATAAATCTATATAAGATGCTAATAGACTCTGCTTTCTCGTATTTTATACCTCTGCACTTCTTTTTTATTTTACTTTATGTTTCCTTTGCATTAAACCTCCTTCTTGATATTAAGAAATGTTGGATTCTTCTTGATATTAAGAAATGTTGTAACTCCGCAAACATCAGAAGGCTTTAGAAAAAGAAAAGTCTGCATAAGAAAAACTGGAATCATGAGGAACAGCTGGGAGTGTCTTGTTTCTCAGTGAGATGAGTTTTGCTGATCCCTGTGGGTCCCTTTTGATAACTCCATTATCCTACAGAGCTACTGACATCCTTATGGAAACATTTCTGCTAGCATTTCAGAAACTCAAAATACAGACAGTTTTGCTTTTGACTATAATTTTTAAGAGTATTAGTAAAGGCAATATTTTTAAATTATTCTGGAAAAAATCTGTAAAATATTTTTTAAAGTTTCAGGAAAAATATACTAATCAATTATTATTTATATTTTAATGTCAAAAATGCCTTTAAAAGATATGAGAATTTATCACAATATTTTTCAAGGAGAAAGTTTGTATTCTCTGGCTTTTCTTTGAGCTTCAAACTTTGTAACTCATTTTTAATGAAGAAAGAACAAATAACTTTAACAGGAGAGTAGTCAAGCTGTGGAGATCCCATCATGGCAAACACATTTTTATGAACATGGAACAACTAGAAACACCTACAACTCACCAATAATGGTATTTTTCCCACACTTTTCCCCTGTAATCTCTCAGTTTCAGATGGATATGCTGTGCCCAGAAGCCAAGTTATCAAGGCTGGCACATTCCTCTGCTGCCATTCCCATCAGTGCCTGAAAAGACAGGAGCAGGAGACTTAGAGCATCTTTCAGCTGCTTCTGGGAATGTCCCACAGGCAGCACTGGGTATCTGGGGAAGGCTGAGGGGCACCGAGGGTCTGCAGGGATGGACCATCAACGACAGCTCCCGTGAGGGCTCAGGCTGAGGGGGAAACCAAGGCAGGGAATGTGCTTTCAGCACAAGCAGCTCCCGGGGTTTGTTGTGACAAAAGCCTTTGTGCTTTTTAAGCATTGGAAGTCCATTTCTTACTTCCTTCACTTTAAGATAAGCTGTACCCAGTCAGCCCCCAGCAGGATCTGCTCTGCCTCCTAAAATGTGCATGGATGCTTCTGGAGAGACACAGAGACATCATTTTTCAGGGAAAAGGAAAACATGATTTTACAGCAGGTCAAGGAAGGACTGTGACCCCCCCAGCTGCTCTGCAGAAAGCAGTGTGGGTGAGTTTGCAGTGGAGGGGAGTTGCTGCTCTGGTTGTGTAAACCAGCACAAAGGAGATTCAGCAACTTCTGAGTTGTTGCACAAACTCAGCTCTATTTTCCAGTTAATCTTCATCAATGCTTCTGTTTTCCACCGTATCTTCCAACACATTCAAATAAAAATACCCCTCAGCACATAAGCAACTAATCCTGAAGACTACTGAAAGCACTTGGAACTAGAGCATTCAGGTATGTTGGGATTATTGTATTTTCACACGTGCCACACACACCTGTGAAAGCTCTCACCATCTGAAAGTACCAGTAATCCACAAGAAGTACCTGGATGACCTTCACACAAGAAAAGGCAAAAAGGGAATATTGCTATAATTAAAAAGAGTGGGACCAAGGAGGCAGGCTCTTGCTAACACCTCCATGAATGTGTAGCCTGTGCTGCTGCTGAATCGCATTTTGCTGAAAACCCAGGGGTTAGATGTGTAAATACAGTAAATGGGGAGCACTGCCAAGTTGCTCCAGGGAATTCTCTAACTGTAGTTGCATGTCCTTTCTCACTGAGCGGTCAGATTTCCCTCTGTTTGCAGCCCTGGTTTACATCTTGTTTTAATCCTGCTCCCTGGATAAGGCCACCCAGCATGGGTTTGTCTGGAACAGCTTTCAATAAGCCTTTTTTGAATTGTAATGGAGAGTTGGATATCTGGAGTTATTGGCAAGTAATGGACCTATTGAGGACCCATGTGGCAGGAGTCAAAGGGACCAGCCGCTGCCTTGCTCCTGCCCAGGAATATGGGATGGTTCCAGCTGCCACTCTGTGCAGGAGGGAGTGATGACTTGCCATGCACCGAGCATGGCAGCCACCAGCATTTAATGCTTCCCTTTGGGAGAGCAAGACAAAGTGCTGGCCACGCTCCCTGGTGTGGACATTACCCCTCTGCAGTGCCAGTGAGGGACTCTGGAGGGACATGGAACTGTGGGAGCAAGTCCGGAGGAGGCCACCAAGTTGATAAAGAGACTGGAGCACCTTCCCTATGGAGACAGGAGGGGAGAGCTGGGGCTGTTCAGCCTGGAGAGGAGAAGGTTGTGTGGAGACCTCACAGCACCTTCCAGGGTCTGAAGGGGCCTGCAGGGAAACTGGAGAGGGACTGTTCATCAGGGACTGGAATGACAGGACAAGGAGAAGTTTAGGTTAGATATCGGGAAGAAATTGTTCCCTGTGAGGGTGGGGAGGCCCTGGCACAGGTTGCCCAGAGAAGCTGTTGTTGCCCCATCCCTGAAAGTGTCCAAGGCCAGGTTGGACAGGGCTTGGAGTAACCTGGGCCAGTGGAAGGTGTCCCTGCCCATGGCAGGGGGTCAGACTGGATGTACCTTAATGTCCCTCCCAACCCAAACCACACTGTGATTCTGTGACACACCAGGGCTGTCTGAGTAAGCCAAGTGTCACACTGTTACTCTCCAGGAGCTACAAATTAGGGGACACTAGTCTTCCCTTAAGGACAAACTTTGGTAGCAAAAATAATCCTCAGTAGAGCACTCCTTCTGTCTTGCTTATCTGACATGCAGGCACACAGGAAAGCTCATAAATAAGCCAGTAACTATTGACTGATTGAAAGTTTCTGTGCTAAAAAGCTCTGTGGCCCCACATATGATTCACTCTCAAAAACAGCCTCTGCTGTCTGGAGGTTTCACATGATGAGCAGTACAAGGCTGTCTTACAAGGAGTCTGCCACAAAAAAAAAAAGAAAAATGGTGCTGACTGGTGATTGGGACTGTCCATACACTTAGCACAGAGCACTGAAGGGAAGAAATGTCTTCCAAATTCTCTTTGGAAACTGCACCCCTGGTCCTCTGATGGGTGTTTGCTCACACAGAAAACTTCTTGCATTCAGTGCTAACTCTGAGGCAGAACTCAGAACGCTGGTATAGATAAAAATACATTCTGAACTGAAAATAAAATTGGTTTAAAACCAGTATTTTGGTGTATTTTGAGAGTCACGCTGGAAACATATTTGCATAAAATAATTTGAATCTTTGGAAGTGCCCAACAGTTCCACAAAGAGTGTTCTGAAATGTGTCACAGCCAGCCAAGTGACAGCATCTCTCCACTGGCTCACTACCTATCACCTAGGGCAGAATGTTTTATTGAAGAAGGAGCAAGCCAGGGGATATTGATGACCAAAAAATGGGAATGCAAGGAGCCATCAGGAGCCAAAACAATGTGAACAAATGCATCAGAAGGCTGCTGACTACAGAGACTGGGATTCTGCAAGACACATTAACCATGCCTGCAGAGCCTTGCACATGCTTAGTGAAGCATTCCCAGCATTGGGAATTCCAGGAGAGTGGCAAGGGAGGTGAAGTGATTTGCCCAGACCAAAAAGAGACCCCTATCAGAGCTGGGCTTAGGATGCTGCACTGTGTGACTACTGGCTTTGTCTTCCTTCTGAAGAATATGGCAATACATATTCAGCTGATGAAAAAGAGAGAAATGTAGGGCTAATTTTAAAGTAGATTTTAGAAGTGTTTGATCTACAAATAAGGCAAGCATTCTCCTACAGAAAGGCATATGAATTTTGAAGGAATTACTTTTGATTGAAGGAGTAAATATTACAAATTAAAAAACAGTTCAGGAAGGAGTTAAAAGGAAAATCAGAAAGTGCATCTTTAGGGCCATTTTTGTTTATTTTATAAATTACTGACCTAAATTTGCCGATGTCATAGAAAAGGGAAAGGAGGATAAAGTCAATACAGAGGAACAGAGCAAATAAATTCAAAATGATCTGGATAGATTCAGCTTAGAGGCTGGATAAGTAGCTTATTCAGCTCACTTGTACAGAAGTGTGAAGTAATAAGATTAAGAACCAAAAATAATCAAAGAGGATAGAGCCAGAAAGAAAATATAACAAACAACACAATCCCAGAAGAAAAATAGACTAAGTAGTTTTCCCTGTTTATGGGGGAGAAGATACAAGTTGCTGTGGACAGACACTTTGCCTCAAACTGGGTTTAATCAACGTAGTGTTTTTATTCTCATTTCAGTTCAGCTCTGTGGTGCTTTTTTTTCCTCCCCACCAAATTTGAGTGCCTAAAACATGGTGATCAGTGGAAACAAACAAAAGTTTATGAGCTATTTACCAAGCAAAATTGTGGTAATTTTCCATTTTGCCTTAGGGAATTTTTAAAAAAAAAAGGTTTTATTAAGCCTGAGACTTGAGGAAGACAATGTTTAACCATTTATTTTTTTAATACAAAATTTATTTTGCCCTCATACTGTTACAAAACTGAACCCATATAACCACAAATATATTCTATTAAAGAATAACACAAAACCTTAGATATCTTTTCTCACAAATGATCCTCTACCAAATAATTAAAGACACCATTAGTAGCCACTTTCTGTTCCAAATCAGGTTACTACTTTTTCTTTAAGAGGTACTTTTATTGTGTTGGAGAAATTATACTGGGTATTGTCTGTCTAAAGTAGCAAAACAACTCCATAATTGCATTCGTTCAGAGTAATGATAACAAGATTTAAAACACAGTTGCAACACAGGAAAACTTAGTGTAAAAAGACTATTCTATTTTTTCAGCTGTCAACTAAAAGTATATTGAATTTTGCAGAGCAAATTCAAATAAAAGTATTGAGATTAAAAGTGATAAAGCAGCAACAGTGAGATCAGAATCCCTCCAAAAATTAGATTAAATCTTCTTCGGGACCGTAAAAACCTCATTATCTTGACATGACTAGATCAATCATTACAAGACAATTATCTTAACAAGTTAAAGTTGCTTTGATACAGGAATTTAAGACTGTATTTTTTTTCCTTCTCCTTGGTACGAAAATAGGCTGTGTATGGTCCAGGCATTGCTGAGCAGAAACTGAGACAGACACATTGAGACTCTCAGGGTGACAAATTAACCATAAAAACTATCTGTAAACATCAATAAAGTCCTGCTTTGAGCAACAAACACTTCCATTATATTGAACTGTGGAACAGAACAACACTAACTCTTGTCATTCTGTGGTTTATTTGCTGTAGGATGAACTTACTTAATGTTGGTTTGGTCTCTTCACTTCTTTAACTCCACAGTTCTTGCAGCAGAAATAGTGTTGCGCTTCCACTGGGGCTGCAGTGCCGAGCTCAGGGCTTTGTCCTGGGGTTTGTGCTCATCCCACAGCTCTGAGGGTGACTGGGGCTGTTATTGATAAATGAATAACTGAGAATGGTGTGAGAACAGACCCAAAATAATCACAGCCAGAGCCCAAAAGAGGGAATCCTGACCTTTTTAGCCTCACTAATGACAGAAGCAGGACTTCAGCCTGGTCAGGAATATGATCACTATTCCAAGAGAAAGCATGCAGTGCCTTTATTGTTTCTGCTGGAATATTCACAGTGTATTTTGTCCACTGTGCAATAGTTTTGTGGGCATTCTTGTTACTTTGGGGTGTCATTGACCTGGTGTTGGATTGAAAACTTGCTTCCTGCCAACAGATTTAATTCTAAGACAAATTAATATGGTTTTGAGGCAAATATGGGCTTTTATTTCAGGTCACAAAAGACCCTTGGTGTAATCTGAAATAATGAGTGCTTTAAATTCTTTCTAAATAAAAACAGACGGTTGTATTTTGCATCCTCTGAAAGGTGTATTAAATCAAGATTTACCTTTTGAAAGTTTTTTGGCTGCCGGTTTTAGAAATAATTTCCTACTGAATGCACTTCCAGTAGGAAGCATCTCTTAAAAATCATAGCATGGTATGGAACCAGTACAGAAAGTGGTTACAGATACTTCTTACAGTGCACAAGCTAATTATGGTTCTAAAGGCTGGGAGAGCTGGGATCATTCAGCCTGGAGAAGAGAAGCTTTGGGGTGACCTGATTGTGGCCTTGCAGGGCCTGAAGGGGCTCCAGGAAAGATGGAGAGAGACTATTGACAAGGGCTGGAGTGACAGGACAGGGGGAATGGCTTCCCACTGCCAGAGGGCAGGGTTAGATGGGGTATGGGGAAGGAATTCTTGGTTGTGAGGGTGGGCAAGCCCTGGCCCAGGTTTCCCAGAGAAGCTGTGGCTGCCCCTGGATCCCTGGAAGTGTCCAAGGCCAGGTTGGATTTGGGCTTGGAGCAACCTGGGCTAGTGGAAGGTGTCCCTGCCCATGGTAAGGGTTGGAATGAGATGGGCTTTAACGTCCTTTCCAGCCCAAACCATTCCATTATTCTCTGAAACAAGTGGTTTCATAGACCCATGAAGGACAGATGGTATCAGAGAGCCTTACACAAGCAGTGGGTTTAACATTCCACACTGGTTTAATTCCCACATAGTTTTTCAAGTTTTATTAACCCAGACAACTCGTAATAATTATGATAAACAGACATTGTCATCAAAAATCAGCAGAAACTTGATAAGCTTAAGTACAATGCAATACATCTTCCTTGCTCACAGAGCCTGTATAATAAATTATTTCGAGGCCCCAGAATGAGGCATTGTATAATTGAGCAAAACAGACCAATTTCTAAGCATGCTTATTTAAATGCAAACCAGACTTTTTGAGAATGGTAAACTTGATTAAAATCCTCTTTAAGTGCAAATCACAAACAACAATATCTAATACTCACAGGCCATAACCATCCTATTAATAATACAATTTATTTTTCAGATATAATTGTAAGGTCCTAACGATGTGGCAGCTGTGATCTACTTCAAAAATTAGAAACTATGAACTCAGAGTCTTCTAATGTGGCTGAAATACACACCACAGCTGAGTGGCCTGCATTTGGTAACTGCAATACATTGCCCCAGATTAAATGATCAGCCTTTGGGTGTTTGCCACATCATTTTCCCCATCTTTAGTGGTGTGCTCCATAAATTATACTATTTCTGCTATTGTGTAGATATTAAAATCAGATCCAGAAGTGTCTGAATAGTAATTCAGCCATTTCAGTCCTGAATACTTTTAAAATTGGTTCAATCTTCACATGCTGGCAATACTCAGTCATTTAATTTTATTTTTTTAAACTTTTTGGGTAGGTGCGGTTGTGCTTTTGCATAGCAACAGCATTTCAAACTTGAGATGTCTGAACAGGCTACGACGATCTCATACTGTAAGAAAAACTGAATTTAAAAAAAAACCCTGGTTTTCCAACTTATCTTTCAATAAGGGACAGATTTAAATAAGAATTTTTGGCAATCAGATGCCACAGTCCCATAAACCAGAACTTTTCCCTGAAAGCAGTGAAAACTTCCACTTTCTTTAAGGGTATAAGTGGTGGTACAGGGCTATGGTTCCTTCTCCCTCACACCTTTACCCTGTCACCCCTTTTGCCAGGGGGTTACTGCTCACCTCCTAATTATGCATTAATTTCCTTTCCAAAGGCTTGCTCCCATGTGTGTGTTGCAACACACTTTTCAGTTCCCTTAAGAAGGGGCTGAATCCAAGTCTCACCCATCCTGGGCACTCTAATGCTCCATTACTACATCTGTGTTAAAGGGTAGCAGTGTGTTGTGTTCGGAAAGAAATGTTGTTATGCTCATGGTTGCCCTGTTTTCTGAAGTCCCTGATCAATTTTGAACAGGAAAAATTTCACTCAATGTACATCTGAAACTTGTGTGCTCTCCTTCTTTTTTTCATTTTATTTTCAGAAATTCCCAGAACTAGACAAGTGAAGAAAAACTTCCCAAAGAGAAAGAGGGAAAACTTTACTTTCAGCTTCAGTTTTGCAGTCAGCATCTGTGAGCCGTTTTCCTTCATCATTGTATCAAACTCCAACAACAATAAAGTTTCTGCTTGAAACAGAAACAGAACTTTCCACCAAAATCCCTCTACTGAAAAAGCAGACTGAAGAATGAGACATCTGATCTTTGAAATAGCCTTAAACTTTGGTGAGACATAAGCATTGTAAATGGAATATTTATGACTTTAGTAACACCTATAACTGCAATGTTAACAGCCATTTTTTAAGACCAGTAAACTACTTATTAGCAGCAATATGACTGTGCAGTTGAATTATGAAAGAATGAGCTCTGGATTAGGCATGTTAATGCCTGAGGAATGTTAGATTCCTGCACGTGTAAACCAGGCTTGGGAGCTGAGGGGTTTTCACTCTACATTCACTCAGTCTCTTCTGAAAGTCAGTCTGTCATTTATTACAGTCATTGCAGCACAAAATAGGACTCCCTGTGTGTTTGAAATGTTTCTGTGCTGTTGCAGTCCTATATTGTGGGAAAGAGGACCAAGGCTGATGGACTGGGAGCAGCGGTGGTTGTCAGGTCCCTGCTACCCGGTGCTCATCCCGCTCTGCTCCAGGGCTGGCCCCGGGCTGGCTCACCCTGCTCTGCCAAGGAGCTGAACCCAGCGCCAGCAAAAATAGAAATTCAGCTGCTGGCTAGTGCAGAAGTGGATTGACGAATTCAGCAGGGAAGGGGTCTGACAAATTCCAGTTTGCAGCTCTATTTGAGGGTTGGTGACCTTTTCCAGGCAACTGTACACTGCAGGGGAGAAGGGTGATGGTTTAGCAATTATTAGTAACTATTTAACCTTATGGTAAAATGATTGTATATTGATTCCCTTGAGAAGGCAAAGGCTTTTCTGGAAGTATGACCTTTTACTTGCATCCCCATTTTCCTCCCTGTCTATCTCCCCTTTCCACATGCCCTGTTTTACATCATTGGATGGTGATGGCAATGATGAATATGATTTATTAGCTCACCTAAGGGAAGTTAACATGAACACAAACTGTGTATCAAACACTGCTGAAGGAACAAGAGGCTGATTTTGGAACAGTGGTCATTCAGGTTTCTGCTTCAGATTTTGTTTCCACAGTCCATGTATTTTCCTACATTAAAATTGATCACTGCTAGGAAATATCAGCCAGCTCAGCTATCAACAGGGAAATCTATTTTATCTGCATCACAGTGTTGCTTCCTCCCCAGTGATCTTGTTGAGTTGGGAATGCATGTCCCTGAAAATGCTGGAAATGGCCAGGTGATTCCTGTCTTGGAGAAACGTGGATCAGACTGTTATCCTTGCCACGTAGCAGCATTCCTTGGAAGCCTGTCATGTGAGGATATTCAGTTGTCCGGGCTTTTCTAGGTGTGAACTGTCTGTGTGCACATGCACAGGCAATATACAGTATTTTGGTTGTTTTTCAATGCTTTTCCTAGTCCTTGTTCACCCTGGTGGGGGGAGAGCTGAGGGCACTGGGTGTGTTCAGCGGGAGGGCAGAGCTCAGGGGGGCTGCAGCTCCTCCTGAGGGGAGCGGCTGGAGCTGTGTCAGGGCAGGGTCAGGTTGGATCTCAGGCAAAGGTTCTTCCCCCAGAGGCTGGTTGGGCACTGCCCAGGCTCCCCAGGGCAGTGGGCACAGCCCCAAGGCTGCCAGAGCTCCAGGAGGGTTTGGACAACACTCTCAGGGACAGGGTGGGATTGTTGGGGTGTCTGTGCAGGGCCATGAGTTGGAGTGATGATCCTTGTGGGTCCCTTCCAACTGAGGATATTGTGTGATTCTGTGGTTTGAAAATGCTATACAAAGTCATTTTGCTGAATCAATGAATTATTTTGTTTTACAGTAGCATCTAAAATGTGTCTGGCAACACGCAATAAATCCTGTTATTTTCAGTCTAGATATGAAAGAAGAGGAGCAGAATAAAATGTCACCTATATTTCAATGGTTTTATATTAGCTATATCAGAGAGAAACTTAGAGGAACAGAATTAACCAATTTCATGGAGCTGACTCCATGTACCAAGAAAATATACAAAGGAAAAAATTAAATGAGAGGAGCTGAAGCTGGAGGCAGATCTGATTTTGAAATTAGAAGAAGCAGAAAACATAAGGAGCAAAGTGCAGATTTATGAGGATTGCTGAGAGAAGAACTGTAATTTTGACTTGCATAAGGCAGAAAGGAGATACCCAACATCTCAGGTGATACAGGTCAGATAATGAGCAGTTTAGCAACTGTGTTTTTGCTATGAGATGAAAAGAAATGTTGGAGTAGATAGAGAAATGCAAGTGTCTGAGATCCCTGATGAAGTATTTTGGTTAAAATTTCATTAAAGAATAAATTTAATTTCATGCAGACCAGAGGATTGCTTTCTAATTTAGGAAGTCACAGCATTGCATACTGGAGTGTATAGTCCACTGCTCTGAGCCTGTAAGCTTCTATTAACAGAGCAAGTAATTAAAAGATTTAGATTAATGTCAGACAGGGATTTCAATAGGAAACTTTAAACTAGGACCAACTTTGACAGTTAGTTGAAGGTTTGTTAAATTTTTTATGAGCTTGAGGCTGATTTCAGTTTCCAGTATGGTTTGTCCCATTAACGTTCAAGGTGGAAATCAAAATAAGTAATGTTATCACTCAAAGTATTAATATATAGTGAAAGTTTGGATCCAGACATGAAACCACAAAGAAAAGCAAAACCAGGAAACTCTTAATCATAAGTTTACAATTAATTTCTTGTGTACAAGTGATTTTTGTAATACTTTATGCTGAATCTGGCTAAACCTGACTGTTTGTCATAGCCTTGGTTAAACTCAATACTTGTCAAGACACTTTTGGCCTTGGCTGTCTGGCATGTTCCATTTGTGATTTTAACCCATTTTCTCTAAAATATCCTTTATGCTGCTCATCATATGCAAAGCACTAATATTGAAATATAATCCCAGCAATATTATTCTTTCTATTTTACCTCTGAAATCAAGAACACTTCTATTTTATTTTCACTATTTTAATGAGAAATACTCAATTCAGGGTTTTGTTCTTAAAATACTTCAGGAAAAGTAAATATACCTGTACATTGTTTGATGAATCACAGTTTGAAGGAGATGTCACATCAAAAGCTACACTTAGGTAATATGCCTCATTAAGTTTCTTCTAAAAAGATACATGAATATTAAAAAAGAGATATG